GCCTCACCAGACGCTCCAGCTGCCGGAAAGTGAGAGTGAAGAAGTCAATCTTGATGATGCTGCAAAGGACACATCTCAGACATCTGTTCACCCCCATTCCCTGGCCCTAGTGGCAGCACTTGAGGGGCTGGGTACAGGGGCAGCAAGAAGAGCCCTGGGTCCCACCTGTGGAAGAGGCTGGCATAGATGCCATAGCAGGACTGCAGGTCTTCATAGACGGTGTCGACCAGCTCCACCAGCCCGGCAAGGCGCTTCAACCCTGACTACAAGGAAGTACTGTTCACACTGACCTTTTGGCCTGCACCTAACCCACTCCCACCCCCCATGGCCATGCCCTCTCTGAGCTGCACCTGCTCTCGAGGACTCTTGGTGTTCAGGAGCCTGTCATACCATTCTCGGTTACCTCTCTGCAAGAGAAGCGACCAAGGCAGTGCAGTGTGGTGGGTGGGAGGGAAGAAGGGCAATGGCGGGTGGAAGGTGTGTGCTACAGCAAGTTCAGGGCTAGTGGGTGGGGCAGGGGCTGGGACATTAGCCCAGACCAGGCTATGTGACACACCTTCAGGGCAGCAGCGATGTCCATGTTTAGCTCAGTCTCAAAGGGGCAGATCTGCAAAGAAGGCTGGAAGAGCTGCAGCTTGTCCAGACACCTAGGTGAGGAGCCACAGCTGACTGGGGGTTGCCCCACCCAGGCCCCTAACCCACCAGGTGCCAGTAGCTACACCCACTTCAGCAGCAGCTCCAGGCGGTGTACGGCTGTGCTGTTGGTGGCAGGAAAGTAGTCCCGGAGCTGGCGCAGCAGCCGCAGCGCGAACTCAGAGAAGGCAGAGAAGCTGTCAGCCAGACTCTCCTCCTGGGGGCACAGAGCCCTTCAGAGCTGACCCCTCAGGCCCTCCCCATAGTGGGGTCAGTGGTCAGCAAAGCTCTGCCCCAAGGAGCAGCCTCCAACCCCATGTGCCTTCTCCTGCTGGCCTCTCCAACCTCAGCCTCCAGAGTTCCCCCTGGCAGCATAAACGCCTCAAGGCATTTGCACCACCCTGTGCTCCCTCTGCTCTGTCTCTGTAGTACCCACTTCCTCTGTTGTTCACCGTTGAAATGCACAACCTCCTTCCATCACATCCCTATCTCAGTATTACATACTACTTGCTTTCTCCTACATCATGCAGTCCAGCTGTTTGTTTTCATCCCCCTACCGCACCTGCGGGCCATGTACTCCACGAGGACAGGACTCTGCCCCTCACTGCCTGCCCTAGCCCAAGCAGGCCCACAGCACACCTTCCTGGAACAGCATTTTCAGGGCACCAGGCCGAGCTTACCTGCTCCTGGGGCAGGGAGGCCGCCTCTTCCCAGTGCGCCTCCATGTCCTCCAGCAACCCCAGCAGGTAGCCGTAGTCCAGGGTGCAGGTCTGATGATGTCGGCTGCTAACTTGCCAGTGCCTGTGGGGGTCCGGCCCAGAGCCAGGGCAGCAGCGTTGGGCCAGTCCCGGACCTAGCTGTATCCTCCAAAGAACCCCAAGCGCCCCGCCCACTCACGGCTCTGCCCCTTCATTGCCCCGCCCACTTACACTCACGGTCCCACCCCCTCATCGCACGCCCCGCCCACTCACAGCACCGCCAGCTGCAGCTCTGAAAGATTGCTCTGCGCACCGTGCAGGCAGAGCACGGTCGCCGCTGGCCCGCTGAGCTCGCCCCGCCAGCTGCTCGAGTTAGGCTGGAGGAAGGGCTGGGCGTGGGTGGAGGTGGAAGACCCCCAGCCCCTTCCGCTCACAGTCCCCACAGCTCGCCCTCCTCAGGCCATGGCGGGCCACCCCGGGGTCCCAAGGGTGCCGCTACCTCCTGGGCTCGGTGTTCGAACTGCAGCAGACGGCTGAGCAGCAGTAGGTAGGACAGGAAGCCTGACCGCCCACGCTGGCTCATGCCTGTGTCCCTCTGGAACGCAGAGTCCGCCTGTCACCAGTCCTGCTCGGGCTGGGGTGCAGGATGGGGATCCCCATGTTCCCCACCGCTCCCCACCTGCGTGGTGATCAGCTTGAGGGCCAACTGGCAGTCTCCCTGCACGCGGGAGGCGCTGGAGCGTGGTTCCAGCTTGAACCAGCGGTCCTCGCCAGCCACTGGCACTTCCTGCGCAAAGAGTTCAGACTGGCTGTTCCTCCAGCTTCTCCCTCCCTCTCACACAGATACTGTGGGACTAGGGAGAGAACAAAGGCTTCCACCTCCCACTGAACATGGGCGACTATCACAGAGTGAGTGCTCAAGCATGCCTGGACACCAGAGGACCCAGAAGGCTGTCTCTCCCATTTCCCCACTAGCATGATCCCCCCCACCCCCAGCCCAAAAAGGATGGGAAATGCTTGGAGGGTGACATAGCCACAAGCAGCATCCCAGGCTGGCGAAGCACCCGAGTGAAGCCCTTGCAACCACTCACCCAGACAGGTATGTTGAGGCACCCCAAGAAGTCATCCGTGTGGTCTTCCGTGGGCCCAGCAGTTCCATTTGCACGGGCTGACTTGACAATCTGTTTGAAATACCTAGGCACAGCAGGGTGGGCATCACACCTGTGGTCCCTGGGGAGCCACCACCTGCTGGCCCCTGTGGGTAAGCTACAAGTACAGCGTCTGGGGGGCACCAGGGTCCCACCTGCTGTACCTGCTCATTCCCTTTAGGCCAATGACTTCATTTAGCTTCCTGCATGCTTCCATCAGGGATACCTCATCGTCATGGTCCCTGGGGCAGAGTGAGGGAGAGGACCTGGCTTGTCTGGAACCCAGCCCAGCCCTGATTGCCCCACCCTACTCCCCCCAGACCAGAGGCACCCACACTCCCTGCCTGCAGGGTATAGGGGCCTATACCAGATGTCCAGGTGCAGCAGGTCTGTGCTGACATCTTCAATCTCACTACAAGAACAGAGAGATACCCATGAGGGTCCATGGTGATCTTCTGCCCAAGGTTGGGGCTAGGACAAATTCAGGAGCTACAGGGAGGGGTCCATGACAGGTTGCCTGGGTTCGAATCATGACTGTGTGGCTATGGGAACATGATGCCCTTCTCTGAGCTTGTTTCCTCCTTTGGAAAGTGGGCATGTGACCAGACTCCTTCAATTCTCTGGGGCAAGCACTGAGACCACATACAGCTATGAGCTGTCACCCTCTGGTCACAGGTACCCAAATGTATTGCTAAGACTGGCTTTGGCACCACAGGAAGTCTCTTGCCCTACCATCTTTGCCACCCAGCTGGGCAAGGGGCCTTACAAGAGGAAGTGCTCCTTCCAGACAGGGTTCAGGGTGCTGCTCTTGACCTCGGTGACCTGGATGCACTTGGCTGGCAGTGGGCTGCCACGCTTGGCACCCTTTCGGAAGCTGAAGCGCTGCTCCTTGTGCGGGCCTGGCTCCTGTGGGTTGCCCGAGCCCGGCAGGATGCCCAGCATGCAATACGGGTCACTGAAGCCTGGAACATGGCATGTGCCTCAGCCCCCAACCCCAAGCCATCCTCTCCTCCATGGCACAACTAAGGTCCCGGCCAGTCCGCACTCACCATTGGGGTCTTTGGCCAGCAGGTTCTTGGCACGCATGACAGATACTTTCAGGGCATATGTGGGGGCCTGTGGGCAGAGGGGTGATGAGGGGCCTCTAGGGGCTCAGTGCGGACATGATAGGGCCCTGCCCTATGCCTCCACCACACCCAAGTTCCTACACATGGGCACTGTGGCTGGTCAGCTTTGCCCAAGTAGGCGGCAGCCTTACCTTGGCCTTCTTCACACGCTCAATGGCCTCTGTGTGCTCCTCCGGGCTGGTGCCAAACACCTGCAGAGGGAGGACAAGTGTGAGGGTCTAAGTGCCCCCCAAAGTGGGGCTGACCATCATCCTGGGGACCTCAAGCATGGCTCCAGCCAGGGATGCTTGACTATAAATGTCACAGGTGGTGGGGAACACACATAAGTGAGGAGGAAAGGTGGGTCTGCCCACCCATCAGTTTGTTATTCTTTATGCTCTGCGCATGTGTGTGTGTGTCTGTCTGTCCATCCTTCTGGGTGTGCCTGTTAGCCTGTATGTGTGCCTGCCTGTGCACACACTTATGTGTTGTGTACATGGGGCGAATCTGTATGTGTTGTTCAGGTGATGGTGACATCGGCAGGTGGGGGAGCAGGTTAGGGGTAGTCCTTCCTAGAGCAGAGTAGGCAGGTCTAAGGGGGCTCACCTGTTGAAGGTAGCGCAGTAGGGCCTCCTGGTCATCCACCTGGTTGGGGCCCATGGTCCCTGCACGGTAAAGGACGGTGTACAAGGCTTCCTCATAGAGCATCTCTTCCTGTGGGTGGGGTGAGGAACACACCCTGAATGCCCTGCCGCAGCACTCTTTCTCCCCTCGGGCTCCTTGGGCCCACCCCCTATATGCCCAACCTTCAGCCCTCAACAGCTCTTCCCATTGGCAGAGCTGACTCCCTGCCTCAGTGCCTTTGCACCTGCCCAGCCCTCCACCAAGGACCCCTACTTACCCCTCACCTCTGCTCCTTACTTGCTTACAATGGGAGGCCTGGTCCACCACCCCCTCCCATCTTTACTGGGCTTAGCACACAGTAGGTGCTCTCAGCCCGACCCTGGGGCCAGACCTGCATCCCTCTTACCTCCTCCTGGGTCAGGGCTCTCAGGCCCCGGTTTGGGTCCATGGGCTCGGCGGGAGCTGGTGAGCTGCTGCGCAAGAGGACCTGTGAGTGGGGCACTAGGGTTAGGGTTTCCAAAGGTGGGGATCCTGCAGCTGGCTTGGGGGGGGGGTTCCAGGGAGGGAATGAGTCAGGGGGTAGAGGCCATACTTGGAGGTGGCAGGTGGGGAGCAGCACCCAAGCCCTGTCCTCACCTCAGGGCATGGCAGGCCCCGTCTGCCTTCCCCCTTCTTCAGGATGAGGCGAATTTGGGCAAAGAACTCCACACCATCCCCAGGTTTCCTGCAAAAGAAGGCCAGGCTCAAGGTCAGCAGAACCTCCCTGAAGCTCAGGGCTCACAGCATGTGACACCCCACCCAGGACCAGCCGATAGCCCACACTACTGAAGGCACATCTTGGGGCAGAGCAAGAGGTCCACAGCCTTGGGTTCAGACCCTCCCAGGCTCCCCCTGGGCTGTGGGGCACCCACCAGGCCCCTGTGGCAGGCTCCTGCAAGTCAGTGCTGGCACTCCCCGGTTCCTCCTCAGTCTTCCGGCGGAAAGAGGGGCAGGCCTGCACCTGCCTGAGCACGCTGCTCTTTATCTCCAGCAAGCTGGACATGGTGAGTGACCTGCGGACAGAAAACACGGCCCTGGCCCATTCATTCATTCAGCAGCATTGCCATACAGTCGCATCGAGTAATTATTGAATTAACCAAACCCAACAAAAGCTGTTCCTGGGAACAATCTGGTTGGACCACCAGGGGGCAGGAGGAGGGGGCACCTTTCAGGGAATGGTGGCTGGTGGAGAGCCCTGGCACCATCATGGCCACGGAGGCAGGGGGTTGGGAAGGAAGAGACCCTCCCTCCCCCGCCCTGCAAGTTGCTTAAGCCTTCATGTCCCCATCTGCAAAATGGGAGACCCCTGCATGATGGCTTTGGAAATGGGACAAGGCTGTAAGAAGTGGTGGTAGTGCCCAGTAAAGTCTGTGCTTTTACCCCTGCATGGCCAGGATGCATGGGAGGGGCCTCTGGGGGTCTTTACCCATCAAGCGCAGCAGGGCCAGTGCCTCATCCTCACCCCTCAAAGCAGAGCTTGCTCTTCTCAATCAGTGGAAATGAGAACACGGAGCAAGCCCTGCCCTGTCTGGAAGGTGCTGAGTATGGGGCCACAACCCCCTCTCCCTGTCCTGCTCCCAGTGCCCCATGTTACCATAGCAACCAAAGCATCATACTTTGGAGTAGCTCAGATGTCACAGTTAGGGCAGGGAAAGGCGCTCTGCCAAGGGAGTAATGGAGCCTGAGCCTGGCAACCACCTGCCCGAGTCCCCTGAATCCAGTTCAGTCTTGGTCATTCTGCTCTGTAGGACCAGAACATGTGTAGGGGACAAGGCTCAGACTGAGCTAGTCTGCAGCCCTGGGAAGGGCTGGAGTCAGTGACTCCAGCAACAGGCACCTCTGAGTAATGGCGATACCTTCTATCCAGGCGGCAGGGTCCAGGCTTCCCCTCAGAAACCTTGCTCCTCCTACAGATTCCTGGCACTAGACTCCCCTTGTCAAGCTAGACTGTGGCAGGGGAGAAGGTCCAGCTCTAGGTGACACCTGCATGCCTCCTCCAGGGGGACTCAGTGTCCTCTGTAGACCCCAGGAAGAAGGGTAGGATGACAGCCGTCCCCTTGCACTGCACTGCCCGGCCAGGCACCCACCTCTACCCTGGTTGTGTACTAACCAGCCCTGTGCCTCCCCTAAACTCCAGGGTGCTCTTCTTGCTCTTCCTGAAAACTATCAGGGCAAAGTGCACACCCCCTGCCAGGCCACCTCTGCTTGCTCGGTGCACACCCTTTGGCTGTTTGCCCAGGCTTGCTGGCCTCTGGTGCACAGGACACACCATGTTCCCCTCAGCACAACATGGGGCCTCTGCACTGGCTGCCCAGGTCCGCCTTCCCAGCTGATGTGAACTCCTCTACTTACTGAGGGAGCCTCCAGGCCAGGTATATCAGCTTAAGCAGGGAGCTGCTGTCATTTTCACTTGAGGAAACAGGAAATGAAGACTCAGCCAGATTAAGCTACTAGCCTGGATGTCACAGGCAGTTAGTGGTGGGAGAGCCAGATGAGACCACTTCTGCCCTGCATCCCAGGCCAGTCCTGGGGCCAGGCTGCTGCTCAGAAACCACATCCACATTAACATCTGCTGTCTGTTCTTTAGAATCTTAAGTTCTGTTGGAAGAGCTGGGGCCAGGGCAACTGGTGGGACCTAAATTGACTTTGCTCCCAGCTGTGTCTGCTCATCTGTCTCCTGGTGCCCCAGGGCTGCTGTCCTGGGTCTATACCCTCTACTAGTTCAGGCCACCATGTCCAGACAGGAGGAACAAGCAGCTTGTCCCCTTACAGAGGTGCCAGAAATGAGGCCACACCTATCAGTGCCTGCTCCTGGGAGCCTACCTCCAAAGATAGGGGCTCAGCAAGCTTCAGCACACGCTTCCAGAAGCTGTTGCCCCTATAGCCAACCAAGCTCCTCCGGGGGCCAGCGTCACAGGCCCCCCCCCTTCCCCTCTCTAGCTCAGTGGAAGGGGCTGCTCCCCCCGCAACCCCCCAAAGCCAAGGAAGCAGCTGCTGCTTGAGCTGTTGCCAGGGCAACCGCCAACTGCAACTGCATGTGACAGGGGCTACAGGGGCTCACGGTCCCAGAGACAAACATGACGCAGGAGCCCAGTGGCCTGAGCTGCAGGGATGGGGTTTCTGTGAGAATTAAATGTTCAAGGTGGTGGAGGGACAGCATTCTACCTGCATTTTTCACTCGACATCTTACCAGATAATGCTCAGACCAGCCCTGGAGAGGGTGCTGCTCTGCTCCTCTATGTGGATGAGGAAACAGGCCCCAGGGCGAGGAACCTGCCCAAGGCCACAGAGCCAGCAGGTGGCTTGGGCTGGAGTCCAGCTCCCCCTGGCTCCCGTGTCCAAGCACTAAGCTCTTGGCATGTCCTGCATCCTAGGGTCCAGGTGGGCTAGTCTCCCCCTCTGCTGACTAGTACCTCTACGCTCCCTCCTTCAACCTGTTACTAGGATGGGGGCAACAGTGGCTTCTGGGCACAGGTTTCTGGGAGAGATGGCTCATCCTGGGTGCCCAGAAGCTCTTCAGGTTACTCTGGGAAGCCTGGGGATTTGATGACCTCACTGCATCCAATAGCCTTGACTCTGAGAGCCAGCCAGCACCTCACCCAGAGCTATCATCAACAGTGGGCATGTGGCTATCCCCCCAGGAAGCACTCACTGGCTGCCAGGGCCCCTCAGCCTGAACGAGGCAGGAGTAAGCCAAGTGGCTACAGGGGCCCTCCATCTGTGTGATGGGTCCTGATGGGACTCCTTCAGGAGCTGTTCCTGTCTTCTACTCTCCTGGTCCTGGATGGCAGCACAAAAGACTCCTAGCTGCCACCAGGACCAGAATCACAGCTCCCAGTGTCCAACAAGCAAGCTGAGGTTGGCCACGCCAGCACTGGGGCCAAGCCCCAGGTCGAATGGGAAATGACAATTCTGCAAAGTGGGTGTCACTGTCCCAGTTCACGGCCCAGGGTAGGGGGTCCTCTGATGCTGCCCTGGTTGTGTGGGGGGAGTGGGAGTGTATCAGCATGTCTGACCCCACATGCTAGCTCTCCATGCCACCTATCTGGCCCCCACCAACCCCTTCACTCTTCCTCAGAATTTCCAGCTCCCATCTCTCCATGGCCCTGCAGACTCCCCAGACAATGCTCCCCTGCACCCAGTGAGTGGCAGTGCCTATTACAAATGCTGCTCCCTGGGGTCTCATCCCAACCTAATTCCCGAGGAGAGGACTGAGAATATGCATTGTAACCAGCTCTGTAGGTGGACTTAGAATGCGGGGAAGCCTGAGACCAGCTACGAAGCACTAGCTAAATGCTTCTAAAATGAACCCATGAAAAATGATTTTTTCCCAGTAAGTTCATTCTTCCTCCCAGACCCCCTCTTACCTGTCTTTACTCACCTGTCTTCACGCAACTCTCCTCTCTCTCACTTCTCTTACTGACGCCCCTCTACCCCACCCCCCACCTTCTCGATGCTCCCCACAGGAGCCCGAGGCCACCAGTTCTGTTGGGGTTTTTCCTCATTGGAGGGCGGGTGGTCCCGGCAGTTCAGAAGACAGTCTGATGAGTGTGTATTTTTTTACCCACCTCGGACCTTTGGGGTAGATGAAGTGGAGGGGCGGGGCTTGCACTGCCACGGATTTCGGGGAGGCTGGGGTCCTACCAGGACCGCAGGAGGATGAGAGGGATGGGGCTCTGGGGGCGTCTTCCACCCCGGGGGTTTGCTTGAGAAACATCACGGAGCGCCTCCGGGGTCCTCGGCCCCGCCTCCGCTACCCCCGACCCCTCCCAGCGCTTCTGCGCTCCCCCGGAAAGGCGCACAGCGGGGCGCCAGCAGAAATGTCGAAGAAATGTCCTTCAAGTATGCACTGGTCTCAGTTTCCTGCGGGCCGGGGGGCGCGTTTTTGCTGCCTCCCGCCACCCACCGCCTCGGGGGCCTCCCCGAGCCGCCTGGGGGTGTGCGTAGGAGCCGGAGTTGGTGGCGTCCCAGGTCCGACTGGGTGGCCGTGGGCCGAGCTTCGACGGCGCGGGACGGAGTCGCAGCACTCACCGTGGGCTGGACGGGGTCGGGGTTCTGCGGGCGCCGCACTCGCACAGGCTCCGGGACGCCTAGGACAGCAACCACTCGCCGCCACAGGCGCGAACAACTGAGCGCAGCAGGTCCGCAGCGGCGGCGGCAGCGGCAGCGGCAGCGGCAGCAGGGGGCGGGACCTGGCCTACTCGCCCCGCCCCGCGCGGCCCCGCCTCGCCCCCCGCTTGCCCCCTACAGTCAGCCGGGCCCAGTGAGGGTCCCTGCGCCTCCAGTGCCTGGCCAGAGAGCCCCCTTCCCCTGGTGGCGGGACGAAGGACTGCCAGTCAACCCACAGGTGGGTGCAGACAGAGGAAAAGACTCTGCTCTGCGGCAGGACCCGCCCCACCCCCGTGGGCCCCGGGCAAGCAGAGCAAACCAAACAAGACGCGCCTTGCTCGCAGCGCAGATTTTTCTGTAAGGGCTGCGCAGCCACCTCCGGAGTCGTCCTCCCAGACGCGCTGTCCCGTATTAACCTGGAGCGGGCCTGCGTCTGGGAACTCCACCACCTTGAGCCTAACAACTCCCTCCTCTCAGGAGACACAGTACACACCAGGGGTGAGGGGATGCTGCAGTTAACCCAGGACGCCCCATGACAACCCAGATTACCTGTTGTGATGATCCTCCCAATGGCCCAGATGAGGGCCTAGACACCCTAGGCTGGGCCACGTGCCTGGTCACGTAGTTTGTGAAATCCCGGGGCCTGGACTGGACCCCTCCCATTCATTTCCAGCCTGCTTTCAGCGTTCCTCTCTGAGCCCCTCCCCCTCCACGTCTCCCGCAGCGTTCTGGTTACCTGTAGAGTTTGTTAACACAGATTGCTGGCTCACTACTAACCTGCTGATTTCAAAAGTCTGGGCTGGGGCTGGCCATCTGCATTCCTAACAAGCTTCAGGTGCTGTTGGGGGTCCTGGGACCACACTTGGAGAACCGTGGGGGCTGTGCAGAGGTGCATAGGATCTGTCTGAGGTGCATAGGGTCCCTGGAGCCCACTCCTGTCTTTGGCCTATCTTGCTGGACCCTCAGAGGACCTTTTCCTTAGGTGTCAAACTGAGATTTGGGGTTTTCACCCCAAAGGACATCATCTCTCATGGTGGGACTTTAGGCAATATGGGGACAGAAAGATGGGCCTGGAACCCATTCCAGCTCAGTCCCAGAAGCAAGGACAGTTCTCTCTAGGGTCAGCTGAGCGGAGGGGAGGGCCAAAGGCTGGAGAACAGGGTTCCAGAACAGAGCTCCATGCAGGGAAGCAGCCCATGCATGGACAACTGCACCTTTCAGTGAACTGCCCACTGCAGGGTGCTTCCCCCCTCACACAGGGTTGAGTGGACACTGCTCTGATGGGGCCACCACTTGTCTCAGCTTCCAGAACCAGACTCATCCACATCTGTGCTACCCTATACCTATCTGTGCAGAATGAGAAAGAATTACTATGTGTGTTTGTGACAGCACTGCAGAGACTGTAGAGCACTGCAGGGTGCCGGGAGAGCGCTGCTGGTTAGGTTCTCCTAGAAGCTGCCCCCAGACCCTACTTTCATCCTGACCCAGCACAACCAGGCAAATGGGGGCAGGGGGAGCTCAGGAAATGCATCGACTGCTTGGGACAGAAATGAGTCAGGGAAGTACGGGAGGGGGCCTGAACCCCGTGCCACCAGCTGCCACTCGGCTTTTCTTCTGCAGGGGATAGAAACTGGGATAGGGGCAGCTTGTCCTTCCTGGGGGACTGGCAGTCCTGAGCCAGGATCTTTGGGCTGATGCCCTCCACCCTGCAGTTTTGCGTCAGGTTCTGCCAACCTGTTGGAACAAAAACTGGGTCTGGTTGCCATGGTGATCATAATGGCTTGGGGTGAAGAGATGAGACTCTGCAGCTGCTGTAAACAGGAAGTTAGGAGGGGCTGCTGCCCAGGGAGGGGACCTCCGCTTGAATTCTCTGCGGGAGCCTAGGGCAGGGTCAGTGGCATCAGAGGCACCAGCCCTGAGACTAACTAACTAGCCTGTTGGTGGAGGGCCCCCAAAACCTTATCATTCTTCTTACAGATAGGGAAACTGAGGCCTAGAGAGGGGAAAGGGCTTGTCTAGGACCACAAAGCAACAGGCTGGGTCCCAAGTGCAGCCCTGAACCTCAGTTTCCCCAGGAAAAGATGATTCCCAGGACTTGCCTCTACGCCACTTCCAGGGGCGGGAGTGATGGTCCTATTTGTGCCTGATCCTTTCATTCTCCCCCAAACCATTCTTAGACTGAAGTCAGGCCCACCTGGGTCAGACTCCTGCCCCGTTGCTCCCTTCTGCTGCCCTGGGCCTCAGTTTCCCTCATCTGTAAAATAGCAGCACCCATTCTGCGGGCTGGTAGGGGACCTCAGAGGGTAGATCTTAGTGCAAAACATGTGCTGGTTAATGTCTGCTGCATGATCCTCCAGTCCAAGGAGACGGGAACTGCCTACCATCCCATCAGAACTCCAGTGACCTGGGGAGGGGACTATTTCTGCCTCCACAGGTTAAGGATGGAAGCCCATCCTGTTGATCCCACAGCTGGGAGTGGGCAGGGAGAGTGTTGTCCCACTCCTCCTGCCTGTGCCCTAGACCCCACTCTTAAGTGTCCCCTGGCCCCTCTGCCCTAGACCCAACAGTGGTCCTGAGCAGTGGAGGCAGCGGCCGTGTTCCAGAAATGGTGAGGGTCAGTACCGGACAGGCATGTATGTATGTGCTACACCTGGAGTTAAGGCACATGATATTCTGCCTAGACTGGGTCAGGGCTCTGTGGGGCCGGTGGGGAGGTGGGGTTCACACCCTCCCAGCTTCTGGCAGGAAAGGGTCTGGCAGGTGGGGGGAGAGGCTTTTCCTCCTTAGGGCCAGGAGAAAAATACCAGGATCTGGATACTCTGATGGCTGCTGCAATGCAGGGAAAGTGGGGCACAGGCGGTGAGGGCCCCTCAGTGAGTCCACCCACCCACACGGGTTTTAAGAACGCACCAGCTCACGCCCTCTGGTGGTATTCTCTGGAATTGCAGGCACAGCCTCCTGGCATTCAGGCTCCTCCTACTTACCCTACAACTCTCAACCCTTTTGGAGGACAAAGGCAGGGAAAGGGGCAGGTTCCCAGAGAACTGATGGGGGCAGAGTTCAGGGGCTTGGGCCAGGGTTACTGCCTGCTCTGGGCTGGAAGACTCTGAGGACTGCAGGAATTTCATTGCCAGTGCCATCCTGAGTGGTTCTGCCAGAAGAGGGTGCTCTGGGTGGGACAGTTCTGGCCCAGATAGTCCCTTGCCTGTGATGTTGGTTCCTGAGGCGCAGTCACCAAAAGTGCAGTATAGGTTCTGTTGCCAGCACCTGTACAGGTGGAGCCTGTGCCAGGCCCAGGTGCTCTTGGGACTCAGGCCTGAGGCTTGTGTGGGGCCTGGAATGTGGAAGCAGAGCACCATCTGTTGTCCACTGACTTTCCCATTGGCTTCTGGCCCAGGGGCTGGTGTACCAGGAGCCACCTCCCCCAAGGGTGCCTCTCACCCTCGCCCTTTGTGGGGAGAGGGCAACATCAGGAGACAGAGCTGCAGGTGGGCCCAGAGCCTGGCTTCTCCACAGGACGGACATCATTCTCTCATAAGTGGGGACGGAGTTACTTTTGTTCATGGCTCTGGGGGGGGCGGTCCAGATTCTTTCCTCCTTGGAGGAATAGGAGTAGCACTAGCTCTCTCTCTTCAGGAGGGCATCCTGGTGGAAGGGGAGGGTGGCCACCTGGAAGGGCAGATCCCAGGAGGGAGGAACCCAGGCCTGTGCCCTGTGACTTTGTTGCTTGAGGAGCTCATGGAAAACAGCTTCCTGACAAATAACACAGACTTTGGGTGAACCTGCTGAAACCAGCCGTGGGTGAATGGGACCCCAGCTCTCCAGCCCCATGGGGCCTACAGCCTTGGCAGATGGGGTCACAGAATCTAGACGCCTTTGTGAGCCTCGTGGGCTCCTGCAGCAAGACACCCCCCAGACTGAGCAGCAGGGTGGCTGGGGCACATACCACATGCGCACTCCTCTGGTCTTCTTGCTGGAGCCGGCTCAGACTGGTTCAAGCCAGCCCAAGTCAGTGCTGGGCCTCCAACTTGTCAACTCGTCGTTATGGTAACCTCAAACTGGAAGCTGCCCATGGCAGAGCCTGATGTGGTGGGAGGGCCTTGGGCCACTGGTCAGGAAGCAAGGTGGCCTGTGTGGGTGGGTATGCCTGAGAACAGTGCTGACCTGGCTGGTACAGTCCAGGGAGGCCAGGGGAACTCACAGGTACCCACAGCCTGGCCAGGATACAACTCAGGCCTCTGAACTGTCTTTCCTGGGGAGATGGAGGCTGAGGGCTCCCAGCCCATCCCATTTGTTGTTGGGCTCCCCTGGGAGCCCCAAGTCCAGGCTCCTTGCTCTGCACCTACGTAATGGCTACACCGAGCTCCCACCATCCCCAGACACACTGTCACGGAAGCCCCATCAGGGTGTGAACCAAGGGCTTGCGTGTACCTTGGTGCTGTGAGAATCAAGTCCCGCTCTGAGGAGGCCCATCCGAGTGATGAAAACAGCCCTAGGTCCCCAGAGGATACCTAGGGCTCCAGCAGACCAGATGGACAAAAAGCAGGGCCAGTGGCCAGCACAGAATGTGTGCTGGCCTTGCTGCCCATGCCCAGGTCTCAGAAGGGACAGAAAGGATGATTTGACTAAAGCTCACGGGGATGTCATCCCCTGACCATGAGGGCCACTGAAGGCCTGATGTGGGAGGCAGTGGGGACGAGGCCTGGGCTTCTGGAGCACAGCAATAAGCAGGGGGTGGCCTGTGTGGGAGGCGGGCAGGAAAAGGACACACCCTGCAGGCAGCAGTTTGTGGAAATATTTTAATTAGAGGATTCTTAGATACAGTGGTTAATCTATTGCCCACAATTCCTCACTAATTAGGCGCCTCATGCTGGGAACACACTCTCTTCCCTTACAGTAGAAATAGAATGATCACATTTCATAGTTCTCATGTTACAAGATTCACATCTTTGTTAAGCCAAGGACTGTGGCACAAAAGGACATTTCATTAGCCAAAGTCACGACAATTTGCTAGAAACATCGATTACTTTAGAATGCTTTAACTAGAAAATATATTGCATTTCCATATATATTAACCATATACATGTGTAACTATTACTAAGTGTAGTTCAGTCATTACAAAATAAGACATTCTGGAAGGGGCTATACACACACGACCCGCTGAAACACCCCCCTCCCCCCTGTAAGGCCCTTTGCATTAGGAATAATTGCAAACATCAAACTGAGAGCTCAGAGCTCAGCAACCCAACAGATGTCCGTCCAGCTAAGCAAGTGAACAAGGCACTGGGCCCTCGGGCCATGCAGGTGCTGTAGGCTGAGGGGGCCACATTTCCTGGGACAAATGGAGGCAGCCCTTCCTGGCTGAGGGCTCGATGACCAACTCTCCCTTCGCTGCCCACCTTTGGGAGACTGTCCCCACTTCGGTCTGTGCACTGGAGCCATAGGCAAACCAGTTCTGACAGCGAGGGTCTTTGGGGTGGGAGGGCAAGGCTGGCTGGTATAGAGCCAGCTCTAGGTCTCTGGTCTGTTCAGCACTGTGCTCACTGGGACCCAGAGGCCAGGACTCCTTCTGCCACTTCCTGTCTCCATCTATGCCACCTCCCTGGTGAGCAGGGGGACCTAGGCCCGCTTTCCAGCAGACAGCAGCCAACTCCAACTCTGGGAAGCTCAGCTGTGGGCCCAGGCTCTAGGGTGCTTTCTGAGGAGTGGACTTCTTAAGTGACCAGATTCAGAACGCTTCAGGAAACAGGAAGAGCATGCGACAACATCCCTCAAAGCTGCTCCTTTGGGGCATCCTGGTGACTGGGACCACCTACACCCAAGCGTAGGGGCTGATGAAGTGAGCATGAGAGGGCTGTGGGCGCTACATGCAGAGGCCCAAGAAGAGCCACCGAGGCCTGGGCAGGCAATGCACTGCCAGAAGTGGAGGCCACATGCCCTGTCTAAGGGCCTCGGCTCCATTGCTGTGGCCCGGCTATCCTAAGCCAGCCTGCGCTGGCCCCCGAGGAGGGCCAGTAGCTTGGATGTGGTCCTCACTAAGGCTCAGCCATGGCCTGGGTATAGGTACCTCGTCCTCCTGATGGCTTGGGCAGCACATGCTTTAAAAGGGTCTCGACACCAATTCCAACTTGACCAGATCTGAACCCTAGTGCTCTACTGCTCAAAGAACCAGAGGGGGCGGAGGGGGGACAGAAACCCTGGACACACACCGTCTCTGGACACAGAACTATTTACAAAGGACCAGGACAAGCGCCACGCAGGCCTAGGCACAGGCAGCAAGACATGCTGGGGCCAAGGCTGGTGCTCTGTGGGGCCTGCAGCTGAGGGGAGGGGGCCGGGCACCCCAAGGCTGCCTCCTCACACTTTTAATGACGATAATGCAACAAAAACCTTTATATAAACAGTTTATTTACTCTAAACAGCAACACAGACAAAACGCCATATAAACACAAAGGAAGTGATGCGGAAAACAAGAGGCTGGCTGACTTTGGATCTGAGGCTCATAGCAACACAACCTGGGTTTTGCAGAGAGAAAGGACAGAGGCGCGAGGGCAGGGGACAGGCCGATTTCTTTTTCATACAGCCAGCTGGAGGCTACGTGTAGCTCTGATGGTGGGAAGCATGCCTGCACCTGCGAGCAAAGGGAACTAGCTCCTCAGGGACTCGTCGAAGTATAAAAGTTTATAATTTTACAGCAGTTGAAATACTGACATCAATATTAAAATAAAAGCAAGTTTTACATAACAATCAAAAATACAAAAGACTGAAGGAAGAGACCCTGTATGAAAAACTGGGCAATTCAGCGAGTCGAGAACTGTGTACCAGTGGCAGAAATGGAAAATGGCGCCCGCCCGCCTCCCCTAGGTGACTAGTAATTGTACAGAGCAACGCTAGATCTGCAAATGTTGTAAACAAGTTCTTGCCAAACCAATCCCTTCCTTTTGATGCTGCCTGCCGCGGGTCGCTGCTTATGAGGGCGCAAACTTCTTGGCTTGTGCTCGAACCCTTTTCTCGTATTCCACTCTGTTTTGGCTGAGGAGGTCAAGAGAGACAGACATTAGAAGGTGCAGCTGCCCTGCATGTGGGCTGAGGGTGTGCTTATCAGCTGCTGCGCACGGAGGCCTACGGGAAGACCATAACAAGATGGGATGATGGCTTCTGGGCCAGTGCAGAGTCGCGGCCCGGTGGAAGGAGAGGGTGGCTTGAGAGATGAGCCTATAGCACAGATGCCAGCTATGAGGGTACAGCCTGAGCAGAATGTTCACAATTTTCCTTCTGAATTTGAAATAGCATTAATCATTATGGAGAGAAAATAAAGACTGCTCAACTAGTCTTCAAAAACAGACTGAGTTCTGGTGGGCTTCCCCGTGGGCTCTCAGTCCCAAGTGTGTAGGAATGGAGGCGGGGGGCAGCTCTCTGATTGTTGGAGAAGGACCCTGTGTGGGACTCCAGTGAGAGAACTGCTCCAAGAAAAAGGGGGCTGGTGGGCACTGCCCAGACCAGGGTGACAGGCAGGGTGGGATGGCAGTAAAAGTGCCACAGAGGGGAGAGACCGGCTGCTACCAGGGGATCAATGTGGCTTTGAGGCCCATGGGGACACAAGGACATTTATGAACAGGGCTCTCTGACACACCAGGTCAGAGGTCTCATTCAATACCTCGGGGCCTAGTCAACAACTCTCCTTGGAGCCCAGGTGTAGTGCGTGCACTCCACGGCACTTGCATCCCAGTAAGCAAGCCAGCGCTCCTCCCAAGCCATGCTCTCAATAAGTGTGGCCTCTCAGAGAACTGGTCTCAGCCCAAAGCACAGGCCCCAGGGCTGAGGGACAGAGAGCCTACTGCAAAGATTTCTCTTAGTTCTGCCAAGAGCAGACAATAGGCTTTGGTGCCCCAGGCCCTCCCCTCTGGCCCTCTCTGGGGAAAGGCTGTAGTGCCAGCACCAGGAGAGGCGGAAACCTGCTCAGAATGAAGCCTGCTGAGCTGGCATGGTGCCCAGGAGCACACCCGTCCTTGGAGGCCAGTGTCAGCACCATGCCTGGACAGCTGGGAGTGAAGGCCACAGGAGAAGTTTCTGCCACCAGGCTGTGTGCTATAGGCAGTCTGTACTCTCACCCTGGCCAAGGGCCCAGCCTCCCAGGGCAGAGGCAGCTGACTAGGAGGGCTCTGGAAGGAGCCAGAAGTAATGGCAGAGACAGCCCTGCCATTTACCAAGTGAGGCTGGGTGAGGGTGGCTGCCCTGGAGTTCTGGGGTGCCTGCCAGTATAGGACATGGCCTGTGGCCTTCCAGCAACATGAGAAAAAGATCTGAAACTTTCAAGCATGTTTCACAAAAGGTGCTCTTAAACTGGATGTCTACTGGTGAAAGAATGTCTCATTCCTAGAGTGTATGACATCATCTAGCAGATAAGGGTCCCAGGGTATGCGGAAGACAGTCCAGCCCTGAGCAGGCTAGGGGCCATACAACTGGGAGCACTCACTGACCTCAGCACCTGCTGGCACACAACAGTGGCCCCACACACTCCTGCCGCAAACACCAAAATATGTGGGCTGCGGGTCAGAGGTACACCATCAAGACACTTGGACGACTTGCCTAAGGGATCGCACCCACAATGCAACCCAAGCCAGGCCTGACAAGCTCTCTCTAAAGGCCTGTGAGGAGATATTTTGGCTTTGTGGGCCACGTGGTCAATCGCAATGGCTCATCTCAGACAATGCAGACCCAAGTGACCCGATTTACAAAGAGGCACAGGCCGATGGAGGCTGTTCCAAATGGTTATCGTTGTGAACACTATGTAACACCCAGCCCAAAGGTCAAGGTGGGAGAATGCATCTCCTAGAGCCGCTGGTGCACAGCAGCCAACAAGACATGAGTGAATTCAAGCTAAGCTCCACTGGAATCACAGCAACACCCTGAGGGCTGGGGAGGAGATAAACCTGAAATCTGAAGCAGGGGCTACCAGGTCAAGGGCAAGGGCTGGCTAAGGGTATGCGGTTGGTTGGGGAATATAGCAAATTCCAGTCCATGGACCTTAGCCCCCATCTGGGAGTGTCTTGCCGCCCTCAGCCACCAGGGGGCACACCCAGCCAAAAACTGGGGTGGGCCCAGGGACAAGAAGCCATTGGGGATGGAGGGTGGGGGGATACATCTGAAACCAGGCATTTTTCCTTGAAGAGGGACTCAGGTCATCTTGTGTAGCAGCTGCTTAGAATGGCCTACCCTTTGACCTGATCCAGTTTCATAAATGTCCTGCTGGAAGAAACAGGCCCACGCCTGGCCTCTCCTTCTGGGCCAGCCCCCTTAGGCCCCGGTTTTCTGAACAAGGGCAAATGGAGCAGTGGGAATCAGCGCCCTCAAAATGGCATAAGGCCCCTCCCAGACCAGCCCAGCAAGCTGGCAAGCAGGGACAGGGTCCTCCCCACGGTCCACCCAGCCAGCCCCATTTGCTCACACAGTCACAGTAGGCCCTCCTCCCTCAGCGTAGTCGGATGTGGGACCACCACAGGGAAGGGCTGGGATGTGGAGTGGATGCCCAGCACCCAAGTGACCAAGAGAAAGTCAGGAGCACCCCGGCAGAGCCGCAGCAGGGCAGAGATGAGAGGTCTAGGGCCTCTGTGACAGCTGGGCTGCTAGACGCACCTCCTCCTGGTGTCCACATCCTCCAAGCCAGACTAGGCTCCTGGAGGAACAGGGTTTCCTTGGCCACACCCCATCGAGGATAAAGTGCCAAGAGCCCATGTCATCTGACTCTGCCATCTCCCGTGCCCCTCACCCCCGCCTCGGCCACCTGTTCTTGCCACTATGGGCCCTTTGCACATACAGTTCCTCCTTGGATACCTCCACGGCCACCTCGCGTGGTCCCCACTTCATAGCACTGACCCCAGCTGCCTCCAAAGTCCACTCACAGCTTGCCTATTGCTCCACTTCCTACAGACAGTCTAGACTAGACTTCCAGGAAAGGTTGTGCAAGCCAACGAGGTCACAGCAAGTGGGGCCAGATCGCTACTAACCAGTAAATTGTGTAGGCCTCTGCTTGAGCTGGATCTTGGATATTTGGTTCATTTAGAAGTTCCTGTATTCCTAATAAGATCTGTGTAAAAGACAAAAATAGAGAAAGATGGGTGGGAAGTCAGCAGTTCAAAAGGCAAACTTTTCTGGGACATCATCCTCAGCAAGTAGGAAGGACCACAAATTCTCTGGTCCCAAAGGAAGGTCAAGGCTGGCCCCTCGAGCTGCGTACCTGCTTAATTGTGATGGCTGGCCTCCAGTCCTTGTCTTCTTCGAGGATGGACAGGCACACAGTGCCTGAAGGGTACACATTTGGGTGAAATAATGGTGGTTCAAATTTGCCTGGACCACAGGGAAGAAAAAAAATCGTGTTTTTGGTGACAGTTGTTTTACAGAATAATGTCCTGTCTTGACAACATTCCTTCCCCAAACTAGGGCACCTTTGCATTGGGCAAAGAACTGTTGAGAAAAACAAGACTGGCCACATGGTGGGAGGAAGTAATAAGAAAAGGGCAAGTGCGTGCCTTCTCAACACTCAGAGGCAGAGCCATGTCCCTCCCCAGGACCCTGCTCAGGCAGTCAGAGAAGGTCCCCCAGTGGCTTCCTCAAACCCTTCCCCAGCCAGTCTGGATGTGGCAAGACAGAAAGGGGTCGCTGCATCAGGTGAGAAGGGTCCTGGGAAAGCAGCCAAGGCCATTCAAATGAGTGGCCATTTTCAAATCAGCTCATTCTGCTTCAAAAACAGAGGCTTTTAGGACCCCATATTCTTTAAAATGAATCCATGTAGAGAACTTGAAAATTATAAAAGCAAGAGCAAGAAAAAAAATGCCATGAGCTTCACCCAGGGACTGTTAACTACAGCTGACGTTTTAGCATATTTTTTATCCTTTTTTTCTGGATACTTTCTTCTTTTCTATTTTAAAACATTAAAACCTAGAAAAGTCCAACCAGACTAGTATAGCTTGATAAATTGGTAAAAATGAACATATTCACTAATACCAACAACTTCCCAGAAAACATTCATAAAACCACCCACTATCCTGACCTGCAATCCCCAGGGAAGACGTCTCAGACTGTGCAAGAGACTACACAGGGACCTCCCTGGGTCATGTTCGTCATCACAGGTGGTGGATACTCACTCCTGCTGCTGCACAGAGTTCTTAATTTTAATCTGATTTACTGATCTTGTTTCTTACCTAGAAGTGTACCAATGATGAATACCAGCATCCCCAAGACCCCCACCCCCTTTCTGGTCTCTGGCTGGCTTCCCTCCATACAAAGTCACCCTCTTGACTTCTCATACCATTCACTGCATGGCGTTGTTGAACTTCATAAAAGGACCCCAGCAATAACTAACTCCTTTGTGTCTGGCTCTGTTTCCATAGCATAACTTTCGGGAGATTCATTCGTGTTGTGTATACCTGTAGATCTTTCACTCTTGCTGCTGTACTTACTTAACCATTCTATTGTGAATGGACGCTAGGGTTGCCTCTAGCTTTTGACTCTTACAGATCGGGCTGTCATAAACATGCTTGTCCACGCCTTTTGGTGATCTCCTGCATGCAGTTTCTATTGACTTTTTACTTAAGTGGAACAGCCAGGTCCAGGAGTAGGCCTAAGTTTAGCTTTAGTAGATAAGGCAGAGAGCTTTCCAAGGGAAACGTCCAAAATTTACTCTATGGTAGGCTTCCGAGGACTCCTGCTGCTCTGCAGCCTCTCCCACCCGGGTTGTCTGCCTGTTCACTCTGTGGCTATAACTTGCAATTCTCTGGTAAAGCAGCTGGGCATCTCTTCCTGTGATTAGACAGGTGGAGAACCTCTTGTGCAAGACCTGTTCCATCAAATGATTGTTTGCCTTTTTCT